GGGAGCCAAGAGGGAGCCGTGGTGCTCTGGCCTCGGAGGGTGGCGGTGCCCCCCTCTTAAGAAGCATTCACGAGAGGCCGATGACAGCCACAGTAGCTGGCCGTGTCGGCAGAGGAAGGACACATCTGTACGTGCGCACCCCACAGCCACGACCAGTCTGTGGACCCGTGTCCCCAAAACAGAGGAGGACCCCGAGTTGTGGGGCCGGGTCGCAGGTCATAGCCCATACGGAGCCCGTGTAGATGCTGCACCCCACTGCGCGGGGGGCCCGGGTGTGCGCAGATATGCAGAGCAGGGCAGCGACTCCAAGAAGACCCATCCCGTCAAGCGCTTGCACGCGGGGCTGCACAACTTCCAGAGAAGGGGACTGAAGCCAGCAATGCAAGGGACCACAAGGAATGCAGGAACGTGCAGGTAATTCTGTGTACTCTCCTACGGACGTTACACTTGTCAGATAAATAGCTTGTAAAGAAATAAAGGCGCTGGAGTAAGGGCGGAGGAGCTGGGGTGCAGGGAGGGGCAAGGCAGGAGGGCGCTGGAGGTCTGCAGAGGATGGGCAGGCAGGGTCCATGGGAGCACTGGGGGGTGCCCCCCGGCTGTCGAGGTCCCATCCCCCCTTACTGCTGTCCAGACTGCTTCTGGCCAAGGAGGAGTGGGCAGCTGGGGCTCCCCCACACCCCTGCCTGGTCCCAGCCCCCGCCCCTTCATTAGCACACCTCTGGGACCTCCTCCGAGGGCCTCCTTCCAGGGCCTTGCTGGCCTCTTCCTGCCCACCTCCCCTTGTCGAAGATGCCCTTTGGCTCAGGGTGCCCAGAGGCCCCTTGGTGGTGTCTACTCCCCGGGGGAGCACAGAACCCCTCCCCGACCCTGACACAGGGCTCTGCAGCCTGGGGCCCAGATGTATGTCCATCCTTTCATTCCCCGAAATACCTGAGCATGTAGAGTCCTTGCTGACCTGGGCGCTGACAGGCCGCCATGCTCAGAGACGGTCATTCAGCAGATGCCACTGGGCAGAGGGGCCTTGGCTGTTCCTGGGCAGTGGACCGGGCTGGAGCATGCACGTGGGGGGAGGGCTGGGGTGGGGCGGGGTGAGCAGCAACTCCTCTTGGCACCTGGCCGGCCCACCTCAGGGCCTTTCAGACAGCCCCTGGTCACTCCTCCGTCAAGGGCAGGGGTGGGGTGAGGGGGTGAGGTCTGCCAGTAGAGGGTCTTTGCATGCGGCCCCCCGGCGGTTTGCTTGGCAGGGTGGCAGGTGGGATTGGCTCTGGCGCCTTCTCCTCTGAGCAGGCGCAACCCTGTGGTCCCTCCAGGATCCTGGTGACTGCACGTCTTCCCTTACCCCGTGAGCCCTGCAGCTGCAAGTTACATGTGGGTCACCTCAGTGGTCCCTTTCCTTGTTTTGGCTCACGGACCCCTGGGTCAGCAATCCCTGAATTGGACACCGCTGTGGGGCCTCATCACGCAACAGGTTGAGAACTGTGGGAACAAAGCAAGGGCCCTCTGCCAGAGGCTGCCCCCAGAGCCCGGCCCAGAGCGGTCATGGTTGGGGCAGAAGCAGCTCAGGGACCTATGATGTCCACTTCACTAATAGGGTCTTAGAGGACTCAGGGCTTCCTTGCCCGTGGAGCGGGAATCCAAGCTCCCTTCCTGTTGTCCCACCTGTTCCCTCCCAACTTCCCTCAAGGAGCCATGTTTTGAGGATGCCAGCTGGCCCTGGCCAGCCCTCCCCAGGGACCCCCCTGCCCTGACCCCACCTCCCCCAACATAGTGGTCCCCTCCAGCAGGCTCTTGCTGAAGCTCCTCAAGTTTACGGTTTATTGCCCACCCCTCCCACGGGGTGCGCTGCATTCCCACGGCCCTCCCAGGGCGTGCCTGGCACATGGTAGGTGCCGAATAAATACATGATGAATGCATAAAGGTCTATACCAAATAGCGTGCTCTCCACCTTCCGACAACCTGTAAGTTTGCATGGAAAGTGGCATCTTCCTTTGTAGGATGTTTTCTTCAAGACCAGGAGATGGCATTCTCCAACCTCTCAGCTCTGGCCCAGGAAATCCACCCACGCTGGGAGCCCAGAGGCGCTCCTTCCCTGCAGGCCGGCCTCTGGACCTTCCCCGGAGGAGGGGCAGCGCCTGGGGGCACCGAAGGGGGTGTGGGTGGGAGCCCCGGATAGCCCTGGGTGGAGGGGGGGCAGGTCAGAGGCGGCGGGTAGGGAGTCTTCATACCCGGGACCCGACACTGGGGGGAGGGATACCAGAGGTGCGGGTCCAGGAGGGTGGGGACTGTCCCAGGCGCTGGCTTGGGAACCTCGAGCACCTGGCAAGGGGGGACGCCTGGGGAGCGCACCAAGACCTCCATCCCTGCACCCCTCTCTCCCGGAGCTCACACTCACTCCCACCCCCGTTCCGCAGCCACAGCCACTGACTCCCCCAGGGGCCTTGCACGCTGAGGCCAAAGGAGACCGCAGCCACACTAGAGACCCCAAGCGTTCCAGCTGGAGCCCAGAGAGGGCCGGGCGACGTGGATAGACCCAGGGTCGCTGGGGTGCAGGACAGCGACTAGGGGGCTCTTTTTCCTCGGCGGTAAAAAAGGGCTGGGAGGCTCCCGCCTAGGAGGCTCCCGCCTAAAGCGCAGCTCCTCGAGCCACCCGGGTTCTCCTGCCTCTGAGCCAGAGCCGCCCGCACCCTTTGGGAGGACAGTGTGCCCCTGTCGTCCCGCCCCAGCGCGCCCCTCCTGTCCCGGGTCGCCCCCGCCCACCGTCGGTAGGGTAGAGCAAAGAGGGGGTCAGGAGGAGGGACGCGACCCCACCCCCACTCGGCCCCGCCCACTCGGTTCCACCCCCACCGGAGCCCCAGCCTTGGCCGCCTAGCCTCCGCCAGGGGTGGGGCACGGTTTGGGGAGCCCAGAGGGGCTCCAATCCTGCTGGGAAGTGTCCCCGCGCCCAGGCTGTCGGGGCGCACACACGCTGTTTGCTCCGAGGAAGTGGGGCGTGTTCTAAGCGAGGCCGAAGCGGGTCTCCGGACTTGGGGACCCGCCGCCGGACGCAGCGCGGGAATCCTGGAGGGGCGCTGCCCTGTCCTGGGCGCCAGGCTCCGCTGGGACAGAGCGCCTGCGGGGGCAGCCACACCCGGATCGGTCGAGTGTGGCCTGGCCGAGGAATCGGGGAGAGAGGAACCGCACCGCACCCGAAGCTGAGGGCCCCTCGCTTCCCGCAGCCTCCCCCCGGCAGCACCGTGCGCGCGCGCCCAAGCCAGGGGCGACCACCGAAAGCCCGCCCAGCGCCGCCGGCCAGTGGCTCTCAGAGCCGCGATGCGGTGCAGGGACCCTCGGAGCCAAGACCCCGCCTCTAACTGCCCAAAACGAAAACGGACCCTCGAAGGACACTGTGCAAGCGGACGCTGGGTCCCTGTGCGGAGCCAGGAGGCTCGCCTCCATTCACACGGTCCAAACCCTGGCGGCAGGAGTGAAACGCCAAAGTCGTTGCTAAGGAACGGCACCGGGCCGGAGAGAGGCCGGGGCCTGGCGCAGGCCGCCCACCCCTGGCCACGAAATGGCCGTCCGTTCGCTCTCGTTAGGGTCATGGCTCTGAGCAGGCAGCGAATAACAGTAAGAGCCAACTCTTAGGATTCAATGTGACACCCCACCCAGAAAGATGAAGGCGACAACGCCCAGCATTTTACTCAGCAGCGGCTCTCCGCCCGCGCCCCGGGTCCACTGCGATCTAATTTGAATCCCACAGCAATGCTACGGGCTGGGGGCTTTTCGTACCAGAAGGGGACACCTGGGGCCCCACGCGCCCCTGTGAAGGCCGCCCTTCTGCCCACTGCGCTTGGGGAGCGCACCCACGTCTAGGCCTTGCGCGTGGCCCCTGCGCGCCCTGGGTGCTGGAGCTCTGAGCCGGCTTGGTCCCCGTTCTCCTGGCTCGGGCTGCGCTTCACGAGACAGCGGCCCTGGGCTTGGTCGTGGGGTCCGGGTCGAAGCCCGAGGCTCAGGCTGCCTCCCGGGAACCAAGCTGCGACTTGGCGACCAGGAAACGCCGGACCCCGCGCCCCGACCCGGCAGAGGGCAGTGCCGCGGGCTGGGAGGGGGCCGGGAACTGCCCGCCTGGCAGCGCCCGCGAGTCGCCGGCCTCGCGCGTGTCCCCGGGACGGGTCTCGCCACCGCGCCAGCAGTGTGTTGGTTAAAGCGGGGTAGCTTCGCGTTGGCCCTTCGGCGCGTGGACTCCCGTGGACCACGAGCCCCAGCGTCCCCCGCCCGTGTGCGACACAGAGGACATTACCCCCAAATGTTCGCGGTACTCCTCGACACCTGAGCCCGGACTGCCGGAAGCCGCGGGGACGGGTCGGAGGCCCTGGCCAGGCTCCACGACCGTGCCGGGGGCTCCCCGCGGCCGCGCCCCTGGGGCTCTTCACCGAATGGGGCGCACAGAGCGTGCTGAGCCGATCCTCAAATCTGCATGCTTCCGGGCGATAAAATATGTTCTCGTATTTTTTCCTGATTTCCCATTAAAACCTTTGCCTAACTAAACTCCCATCCAACGGGATTTATTTCGTCCCGGGGGAGATAAATCAGGGGGCAAATTTACAGCCGGGGAGGCACCTGCCTCGCTAATGGGCCCTTCATGGAGTGCGCGGCCGGCGGGGGCGCGCAGGCGGGCGGGGCGCTGGCCAATGGCCGGGCCGCGGGCGCCCGCAGCCAATCAGCGCGCGCGCCGCGCGGGGGCCCCCGCGGTTATCAGCGCGTCCGGCCCGCGCGGCGCCGCTCCGATCGGCCCCGGAGCCGCCGCCGCCGCCGCCGCTGCCCCGCTGACCCCGCGGCCGCCGCCCAGCCTGCGCCGGAGCCGCCGCCCTCGCGCCTCCCCGGGCCGTCGGCGCCCGCGCCCCGAGCGCCCCGCTGCAGCCGCGCCCCGGGCCGCGCGCAAACTTCCCGGGCCGGCGGGCGCGGACGGCGGGGCGGCGGCGGGGCCCGGATGGGCGCCCGGGCCGGCGGCGGCGGCGCCCATGGACGCTAACCGGCCGGGCGCGTTCGTGCTGAGCAGCGCGCCGCTGGCCGCGCTGCACAACATGGCCGAGATGAAGACGTCGCTGTTCCCGTACGCGCTGCAGGGCCCCGCCGGCCTCAAGGCGCCCGCGCTGGGCGGCCTGGGCGCGCAGCTGCCGCTCGGCACCCCTCACGGCATCAGCGACATCCTGGGGCGGCCGGTGGGCGCGGCGGGCGGCGGCCTCCTGGGCGGCCTGCCCCGTCTCAACGGGCTCGCCTCGTCGGCCGGCGTCTACTTCGGGCCCGCGGCCGTGGCGCGCGGCTATCCCAAGCCGCTGGCCGAGCTGCCCGGGCGCCCGCCCATCTTCTGGCCCGGCGTGGTGCAGGGCTCGCCCTGGAGGGACCCGCGCCTGGCCGGCCCGGGTAGGTGGCGCGCGAGGGGAGCGACGCGGGGCCTCGGGTGCGGCGCGCGGGGCGGCAGGCCGAGCTCACCCGCCCTCCTTTGCAGCCCAGGCCGGCGGGGTCCTGGACAAGGACGGCAAGAAGAAGCACTCCCGGCCCACGTTCTCGGGCCAGCAGATCTTCGCGCTGGAGAAGACCTTCGAGCAGACCAAGTACCTGGCGGGCCCGGAGCGCGCGCGCCTCGCCTACTCCCTGGGCATGACCGAGAGCCAGGTCAAGGTGAGCGGCTGGCGCGGGGCGGCCTCCCGCGGGCCCCGCTGCGCCGAGCCGACTCGCGCCCGCGTCCGGCGAACGGCGTGCGCTCGGCCGCCGGCCCGCCCCGGGCCCAGCCCGGGCCCAGCCCCGGGCGCGCCGCTGTTCTGCGGCCGCTGCACGTCCCCGCGGGCGCGGGGTCTCGCGCTGCATGGGTCGGGCGCTGCCGGGGCGCCGGCTGACGGTCCCCCTCCGCCGCAGGTGTGGTTCCAGAACCGCCGGACCAAGTGGCGCAAGCGGCACGCGGCCGAGATGGCGTCGGCCAAGAAGAAGCAGGACTCGGACGCCGAGAAGCTGAAGGTGGGCGGCTCGGACGCGGAGGACGACGACGAGTACAACCGGCCTCTGGACCCCAACTCGGACGACGAGAAGATCACGCGGCTGCTCAAGAAGCACAAACCCGCGAACTTGGCGCTGGTCAGCCCGTGCGGCGGCGGCGCGGCGGACGCCTTGTGAGCACGGGCGCGGCCGGAGCAACCAGGGTCCCTCGCCGCCGCCCGCCGTGTGTGTATATATTTTTACAGAATAAGTTATAAAGCGGCCGGCGCGGGCTCGGGAGGGCGCGGGGCCGCGCGTCCCGGGCGCAACCACTTTGTATAATCAATAAATTATTTAACACGTCCCCGGCGGAGCCGCGGCTCCGGAGGCTGCACCGCGTGTGTCTTCCTTCTCGAAACACCCCCCGCGGGTCCCTGCCCCCCCCCCCCAGTCTTTGTCCCCGCGCGGCCGGGCTGGCAGCGAGGCGCGCGGTGCGACCCCGGCCCGCGCGTCCCCAGGCCCGGGCGGCGGCAGCTCGCAGGAGCAAGGGGACATCGAGGGCCCGGCGCGGGGAAGGGCGACCCTGGCCCCGAGACCCCTCGGCCGCCCCGGGAGCGCCGGAGGAGCCGCGACGCCAGAGAGCGCCCAGCGGAGCCGGACGGGGCCTCGGACGGAAACGCAGCGGGCGCGGGGCGCAGCGCCGGCAGGAGCGCGCGCCGCGACAGGTGCGGCTCCCCCTGCCACCCGCGCCCCGCCGGGGGTGGCAGGGCCGGCTCAGTGGCGGAGGTCGGCGGCAGGTGAGCACTCACCCGCGCGCGTCCCTCTTTCCGGAAACCCCGGGGCGGGCGCGGGCCGAGTCCTAGGCTGCCGCCCGGCTCGCCCCGTGTGTTTCATCCGATTACGCAGATCTTAAAATGCCTTCGCAGCTAAAGGTTTCCTACTGCGCGCTAAGCGTGCAGCTCACAGATTTTAAGCTCGTCTGCGGCCCGGTTCCGTCGTTTTTAATCCGTAGACACTATTTGATTCAGGCCGGGACGCCAAAGAGAAATCCCAAGTAGCGCTGCCGCCCTCCGAGGGACGGCTCGCACTCGCTCCCGCCGGGCCAGGCCCTCAGCCGCCCGCACCCGGCGCAGGGAGCGGGCCAGCGGCGGGGCTCCACGTTCTGAGGCTGGTGCTCTGGTGCTCGCGTCCTGCTGCGCGTCACTCTTGAGTCGTAATTTTAAAAGTTAAATAGAAGTGACTGCGTCATTATAAGGTTTCTCCTTGAAGGCATTTTTGAAACTGTTACAGAGAAACGGAAAAGGCTGTTTTCTGTTCTATGCCACGTGGCTGCACCATCAGTTTAAAAAAAAGACATTTCTTTTGAGCCACTGGCTGGTCTTCTTTTTAACGGAGCAATATTAAAATCTATTTTATTTCTGTGAGCGAGTCGTTCTCTCAGCTCAAGTTAAGAGCAAAGGAAATCCCAGTTTTAAAGTTTTGAGGAAGGCAGTGCATTTTTATAACCTCCTCTTTAAACGCTGAGGGTAATTCCCATTAGTTACCACTACGGTAAAAAACCCAAAAGATTGTTTTTCTGCACTTAACTAATGGCTTGGTTTTGTGTAGCAATGTCTGACAGAATGACATTCCGGGATTTCTGGTGAGCCCACAAAGGAGCGCCCTCCCGTTACTTAGCATTTCAAAGGAGATGGGGACCGGGAAGGCGGAGAAACAAAGCAGACTCAGGACTGTTTTCACCATGATCAATTTTATTGCTTAGGAACCGGAGCGGTCATTTTTAGAGGCCTCCACAGTGACCAACAGCTGAAACCCCGTTACACAGAAGCTCGTGGGGCGGGCCTGCCGTGTGGCACGTGGACAGAGCACAGCGGCCAAAGCACTGACCCCGACCACACTGTCAAGAACAGATCAGCAAGCGGACACCCAATCACTTGCAATGGTAGTGATTTACCTAAAAACGAGCATCTAAGGCCTGTACCCAGTCCAGGAATTGTGTAGTGTTCTAAAGCGGATCAATAAAACATAGGTTGTGTTTCATCCACAGGCTCTGCAATGACCTTTTAATGCTGTACTTCGTGCTAGGGGAGATGGTCGCAGCAAGGTTACCACGTAGGCTGGGTGCAACGGAGCAGCCGAGGAAACTTACGGTTTTGTTTCTCTTAGTAGTTTTATATACAGCCCATGTTAAAAGCAGTTTCTATCTGAAGCAGACTAGGCTATTTTTGTTTCTCCCATGATATTATTGTTTTATGTAGAATACTTGGCACCATAGAACAGTAACAAAAGACAGACGGGACAGTTTACAAAATTCTTAAAAGGTACACCCGAGCTAGCTAGAAACTTCACATTCAGTTCTTAAGAGTACACAGAAAAAAAGGCATAGGAGTAAGAATCTGCAAGTGTAGATGTGCTGTGGTCGACGTCCACGCAGGACGGCACCGCTAGGCCGCAAGGCCGGATGGGTCCGTGCGGATGTGCACGTCCCCGAACTCGACTCCATTCCTACCTGCCGACAGGACCCTCGCAAGCATTCGTCCCGGAAAGTATATTTAGCATAAGTTTTGGTAAGATTTATAAATTATTTTTAAAAAGTATATATTTATATATATTTATATATATAAAAACGGAAAGCAGCTGCAGTGTGATTCAAAAACCATGTAACGCGGCAGTAAATAACACGGAAGGGGAGCCGCCCGAGGCGAAGACCAGGGCCCCTTGCTCTCCTCACAGTGGCCACACTGCCGGAGTCGCAAAGAGCCCCCGCCCGCCGCCCGCCCCCGGGCACGCCTCCAGCTGGCAGAGGGGGACCTGGGACACCTGGGGGGTTTCCACGCCGGAGAAGCTCTTCCCACGCTGACAATTATTAAAAATGGAAACTCTGAAGTCTAAAATACAGACTCCCTCTCCTGTCTATAATAGAGTTTTGGCAACAGGACGGTGACTTATTACAAAAACCCAATATTTCTACTTAATGTCACATGAACAGACAAGACAGTGAGGTATGTGAGGCTTTTCCGGAACGGTCCGGAGGCTGAAGCGAAGTGTGGGGCCGGCCGTCTAGCGGGTGGCGCTCGGGCGGGTTTGTCGATGCAGCTGTTAGGAGGACGTGTTTCAATGGATGGGACTCCCACCGGCTCCAGGCGCTACAGGGAGGTCTCGCGAAGGGCCCTCTGGTGTCGCTGGCATCGCCTCCCTGCCGTGGAATCGGTCACTCGTTAAAGGAACAAACACACCAAGAAAAGCTGAGAAAAGGTGAAGCCAAGGGAAGGAGTCATATTTACCACACGTCACTGCACGACACAACACTTGTGCACATGGGCATGAGGTTTACCTGCCCCGGGCGCGATGCGGAAGGCCAGGAACACGGGCTGCAGCGGGAGGAGAGAGGGCGTCAGAGCCCGCGGCCACGCGCCCACCCTGACCCCCCGACTCCGGATCCCTGCCCTCCCCCGGCTGCCCAACTGCGTCCGCCTGCCTTGTGCGCGAGCACCAGCGTGAGACCCCAGTGACCTCACAACTGGAGCTGGGGTTGAGTTTTGGAAAGGGCATGATTTCCAGGTAAAAACTCACGTAGACTGCTGACTAACCCGGTGGCTGTGCCGGGTCCGCTCCCCCGGGCGCCAGTGTGGGGGCCGCGCGTCAGGACGATGCACCCCGTGGTCACGGCCCGGAGGCCTTGCCCACGGGAAGCACGGGTGTCTCCAATTTGGCTGAAGGTAAGACGCGGCCAGCATCGCCCTCAGACTTTGGGGCTCGGGGTTAGGGACGCTCATGCGTACGAAGCGCGTCCCTGCACAAATACTCAGCGTCCCCCTGAAGGACGCATCTGTGCTCACTGCCATGAGAAGTCACAGTATCCCAAACGCACACTAGAAAAACGACCTTCGGAAATCACTGGCTGTGGACGGTATTTTGTTATAAGTAGTAAAATTCTGTATTTTATTCTACTGTGACCAGTCTTTTCTGCCTTCTTTACCTACCTACCTACCTTCTGGTATTTTATTACAATTACGTAAACACAGACCATCTGGGCAAGCGCTGTGTGGGCCGATGGAGGAGCGGTAACTCGGCCCGCCGTCCAGCCCCTGCCGCCCGCTGCCCCCGCTGTCCACCCCGCCACCCGCTGCCCCCGCCGTCCAGCCCCCGCCCGGCCCCGCACTGCACACGGCGCGGACACATCACCTTGTGGTCTCCCATGCAGACGTTGGGCCCAATGTGGTCGTAGGTGACAACCTTCTCCTCGCTCTCCGACTGGGAAAGCAAACAGAGAGACCCGTGTGGGAAGGTGGGGATAGTGGGGCTTCCTCGGGGAGCCCGAGCTACCTGCCACCTCCCGGCAGGCAGAACGTTCTGGAAGCCCTGGGAGCCGCTGGGCCCCTGGCTCTTCCTGCTTCCGGACGGGAGTTGGGGTGGGGGCCCCCCAAGCTGTCCTCTGGCACATGCCCCTGGGGAAGGGCTTTCTTCTCAGGCACCCCCGCCCCCCGCCGTGCATCTGGCGTCCGTTTTCCCTGTTTCCGTTTGTTTGGACAGCCGGTTCTATCAGCCCAGAACTGTGTTCACACGGGAGCAGACGTCTCTGAATCCCAGGCGGCTGCCCCAAGCGCTTTGTACACGTTAATTAACCGCTGTGTGCACCCCGGCCCCTCCCTCCCTGCGCCTCCGTGTCTGCAGGCCAGGCAGACCCCTGCGTTTCGGGTGCGACTGTGAAGGGGTCGTTCCTGGCAGTCCGTCCGCTCCGACTGGGCCGGAGTTTTATATCCACGCTGAAGCATCCGAGACTATGAAGTTAAAACTGAATTATCTTTAATGCAGTAGGAAGCTTAAGGTCAGATTTACTTTCCAGCGTGGTCGCCTGCTAGAAAGTATAAAAACATAACCTTCTGCTCCATATGCGTGAGCACTTCCCATCCCTCACGATCGCAACGCTGCCTCGCGGAAGTGGGGGACATCCGTCAAGCGCGGCACGGTAATTTACAAAGGCAGCATAAAATTGTGGGTTTCCAACTGCATAATCTTGAGACAGATAAGCAAATTACAGCAGTGCCTGCATCCCGGCAGCTCCCAGGCAGCGCCGCCAGCCCGCCACCTTTGGTGTTTTAGGGCTGGGGAAGCAGAACGGAACATGGTGACGAGGTACCCGAGCGTAGCATGATGGATGAGGCCGAGGAGCTGCTCACGAGGCGCATCTGATCCGACGGTAACGCCCGCTGCCGCCGGGCAGCCCCGGGGAGGGCCTGGGGGACGTCTGCCTGGTGGGGGCGCCCCCTCTAGCTCGGAAGCGTCCAAGCTCAGAGTGAGCACGAAACAGTCTACCGGGACGGCCTCCGCCTGGCCGCACACGCTCAGTTTCCTGCAGAATGCAGTTTCCCTCGGCGTGGGTGCTTTCCCTGTAGACCACACTTGTCTCTTCTCTGTCCCCGCGGCGCCCGCGGCCCCTGCTCTGGCTGTGGCCGTGTGCCCAGCACACCGCACGTGCTCAGGGCCGGCAGCCTGCAAGTGCACACAGCCGACTCCAGAGCGTCAGCAGCAGGCCCGGCAGAGAGGGCAGGGCTATGTCCAGGCTCTCCCGGGTCTGTGCGCTCCTGGCCGACATCCAGTGCAGCGTCAGCCAGGAAGGCCCCTGGGGAAGTGGCCCTGGGAGCTGTCCCCGGCGGGGGGCCCCGGGTGCGAGGGTCACACAGCGCAGCGGGAGGAGTGCCGAGGCCCCGACGGAGCAAGCTTGCTGCAGGCCCCCGGCTGGCTTCCTCTGGGCTCAGGGAAGAACACAGAGGGCTGGGCTGGGGGGCCACTGAGTACGGGGCACAGGGTGTGTGCATGGCAGGGCGTGCTATGAGCCTGGGGCAGCATGTGGGGGGCTCTGCCCTCCTGGCTGTGACCCCTCTTGCCCAGTGAGCTCCCAGTCCCCGGGGTGAGGACTCAGGGCCCAGCTAAGGGGTCCTGGTTGAGGGGGGGGGGGCAACTGGAACCTAAAACAGAGCTCAGGTCGGGGATGGCTCCCCAAAGGCCCACGTCTGCTCTGAGCACCAGCCCGCGGCCCCCACCCCCCCAAATCAATGCACTTGTGTGTGATTTCCCATTAATGGGGTTGACAAAACAAATTCAGATATTGATTCTTTTGAAAACACCCTTTTTGTATTAAAATGTGGGCACTGAAAATTCTTGAAAATCAGGAGGCCACAGGAAACCTGAGCGCAGGGTGCCACCTCTTGAATGTTCCCGCTCGTTTCTACCGTGTCGAGCCCAGATGTGAATCAGGCTCTTGATTTACATCTCGGGGAAATAAGGACCGACGTGTCCACCACGCTTTACACAAGCGCTCTTGCGGACAAGAGCACATTTCATTCCCGAGGATACAATAAACCATGAGGATTTTGAAGGCACTGATGACCGTGTATGCACGCTGTGGGTTCAGAAAGACATCAGATGTCGCCGGGGCCCCTCAGGCCCGGGCGCTGGGTCTCAGGTGGCCGAGGACCCATCTCAGGGCGACGCCAGGGCCCATCCCGGGGGCCCCTATGTGTGGCTGGTCCTGGGGTGACTCTGGCACTTACCTTCAGAATCAGCTCCCTGGCGGATGGGGACATGAGGACGCGGTCGCACCATGCAGGGCACCGGGTGTTCATGTACTGTTGGCCCTGGCCGGAGTCCTCGCTGTACGGGTAGCTGGGGGGACACAAGGGCGCCTGGTCAGCTGCTGGCTCCGGCCCCACCTCCCACCGTCTCCCGAGTCCCCGGGGAGGGCTGTGTGGGTCTTCCCACACACGCGGAGTGGCCAACGCCACGCAGGGAAAAAAACCCACGTAGTGAGGTTTCTGCAACACGAAGTCGAACACGCGATTTAAGTTCTCACTTGAATTTTTGTTGTAACAGGATCTTGCGACAAACCAATGGTATTGTCTAGGATACTGTGGTTTTAGTTTTGGACGTAGTCAGGACAGTGAAAAACTGAATGGGGAAGACGGGCCTCCTGCCCCACCTGTGTCCCAGGGGCCTGCCTGGCGCATGGCCTGACCTGCCTGTGAATGCAGGGGCGCCGCTGTGGGACTCCCACTCAGACGTCCCCTCACGTCTCTGGGGGGAGCCTCCGGAAGCTGGGGCGTGATGCGGGTGCACGCCCCGTCCCCACGCCCGCTTCACCACAGCATCTGGTCTCGGCAAGTGCCTGGTGTCCAGGCCATGGGCTCATTGCTGTGGCATGGCCTGTGACTGTCCCTGACCCACCGGCTCTCGCCACACAGGAACCCCTTCCCACGCCCTGACCCGGCTCAGCCCCCGGGAGAGGCCCTGACGGCCCCTCGGGGATGGAGCCACCACAGCTGATCCACCGATGAACAGAGACGCACACGTGGCCAGCTGATCCCCCTCATGTTCCTCGGGCCTACAGGCAGCTTCCTTCTGTTTCCAGAACTCCCTGGAACAATCCTGCCTCTGGGCCCAGTGGGCCTGCCTCCGTCCACTTAAACCTGCCGGCCCCACCCCCAAGTGGGCATTGTGACTGGGACCGACTGAGTAGTAATAAATGAACTCAGAACGAGCTGGCTTTGGGAACACATGTCGCTGTGTCGGCTGCATCTGCACCAGGGTCTGCGTATCCATGTGCATCTTGTACGGCCATCTCAGAGTCTAAACGTCTCCTTGTAAAAATTTGTTTTTAGGTAATTCCAAAGTACCATATGGTCTGAGCTGTGAATTAGCTTATTCTCTGCTGTGCTCTCCGGCTGCTTGCTGCTGGGAGAGAGGAGCCGCTCCGGCGGCGGCCCCTGGGCTGCTGAGGACTCTGGCCCCCGGCCCTCTGCTCTGTGGCCTCAAGACCTGTGTCCTGCCGCGACCACCAGGCTTCGCAGAACACAATTCTGCCCTGAGCTAACGGTTCCCGGCCTCGCCCCGTCCCGTCGGGGGTCCCCCATGCTTTCACCAGAACAGTGGCCGAGGGCCCTCGCCCCCCAGGAAATCACTGCTTCACTTGATTAAAGACCCAAAGCGGCAAATACGCCAAAACAACACAGTTCCTACTTCTAACAGCATCACCCATGTAGGGAGCACAGAACACGAACTACCCTAGAAACTCCTCTGCAGGACAAAGTGGCGAGCCGGCCATCCACCCCTGCTCCACACGTGCAGGGCGCCTGGCTCAGCTGTGACCGTGAGGGAGCGACACCACCCGGCCGGGACTGCTCGCCTCGCACGCACGACCTCGCCTGGGTGCCTGGGGGACACGCCGAGGCTGGCGGCAGGCTCTCTCCGGAACACGCTGCCTGTGAGCCGGGGATCGGGGGTCCACACGGATCAACCCCGGTTTCCAGAGGACAATGTGCTGAGTTGCGGGACGAGAACAAGAAGCCCCCTTGTTGGGGGCAGAGGTCAGGGGTGAGGGCGGCTGCGAGCGGGCAGCAGGTGTGATGAGGGCTCTCTGCCAGGAGACAGCGAGTCGTCCGAGGCTTAAAAGCACCACGCTGAGACGCGGTCCGGAAACGGGATGAACGCCACGTGCCCAGACACCACCCTTGGCGCCCAGTTACACCCCCGATGCTGCCAAGAGGACCGGAAACCCCTTTGCAGGCCCCAGCTGGTCTTGGGGTCCCATCTAGGGCTGCACACGGCACCCACAGACCACGAGGATGTACACCGGGGCCAAAGTTCAGTGTTTATACCTCGGGCCTGGGTTTGTGCCAGGACACAAAATCTGTCAGGGAGGCAACACGGAGCTCCCTCCCTGTCCACGCTGGGATCCGACAGGTGGTCACAACTCACACGGTGGTGCTGGGGTGAGTCCCAGAGAAGAGCAAGCTTCCGGGTTTGCCCCCGAGGGCAGTCCTGGGAGCCCCGCGGGGTCCTGGCCCATCGTGCTTGCGCAGGAGCCGGCTGCCACAGTCCAGTGTGAACACAGGTGACTCAAAAGGAGAAAGAAGCTGATCCCCAGAGGTGCCCTGCTGGTGGGGGCACTGCCCCTCCCCCACAGCCCCAGGGCCATGCCCTGTGGCCCCTGATCCCGGAGAAGGGGGCACACCAGAATGGAGCTGGTGCAGACAGGCCCAGGGAGAGAGGGGGCCAGGCGGCACCCCGTCCTTCCTCCGGCAGCTGAGCACAGGGCACGGGGCCCGATGCTGCCAGTCTGCGGCCTGCACGCCTCCAGAGCGGACAGTGGTTAAGTCCACACCTGCCGTGCACGCACACTTATCTGGACGCAAACTCTGGCAGCGGCGGGGGGAGGGGAGACAGGACAAGCGCCCAGCTGTGCCCCCACCGTGAGGGAGAGCCGCCGTGACCGCTGGTGATGACGCTAACAATCGCCCAGCTGTCCTCAAGCACGCGGCCCTCCCTGCCCTTCGAGCTTCTTCCCTCAGGATGTGGGCAGCGGCCCCTTTGCCATGGCCGGCGACCGGCCCTGTGGACCAGCTCAGGACTCCATCTGAGCCACAGGGCAGGCGGGTGGAGTCTCCACGGCCCTAAGTCCGACAACACGGCCAGGAAGGCCCAAAGCCCGGCCGTGTTCGCCAGCCTGAATCTACTGGGCCGGCCGCAGGCGGGGACCCCGGGCACAGGAGGAAACAGAAACCACAGCCAGACCGGCACGTTCTGCACCCGCTCTCCCAAGTGGAGGGCGGCGTGGTGGGGGTGCTGCCTGGCGCCTCAGGGGGGCTGTGGAGACGGGAGCCCCTCCTCGGAGCCCTGCCTGGGGAACAGCGCCCATGTGAGGGGCTGCGGACAGGGCACAGCAGTGCGGACAACGCGCCTGGCACGGCGAGTGCAGCTCGCAACCCTGGCATCCCCAAATACTCGGTTTCAAAAATACCGGCCATTACTGATATTCCTGGAAAAGACAGGAAAAGAAAAAAAGGACAATCGAGGAAAACGAGCAGGAACCATGGCAACACTGAGCTATCTGGTGGAGGAACTCGCAGCAAAGACCGCCCAGGAGAGAGTCCCGGGGCCGGCGGCACAGAGCGACCTGGCCGCTGTGCACGGCCCTTCGCCCCGCGGCTGGCTTTCCCGAGCAGCTCACCTCCGGCCGTGCTCAGCCTCCGGTGTCCACCCCGCGCACCTGCCTGGGCCACGTCCAACCAGGGCCCCGCGACCAGCGGGACAGACAGATGTCCTGGCTCCTTCCCAACCAGCAGGCCTGGCAGACGGCAGACAACGCACCTTCTCGTCCTAACTTCACAACTGGACACATTATTACGGAATCTACAGAGGGTTGAAGTTTAGATAATGGCCCAGAAAGAAGCTGGAAAAAGCCTCTTTATCCTTAAAATTAAATGCATCCATTAAGACAGCCCGCCTCCTCCCACGAGCTTCCTGCATTCACCTCTGTTATCACACAGTCTTTTGAGCTTTTCAAAAGCTACGACTTCGTCTTACTCTGTAATCAATTCGCTCAGTAAAAACGTGTCTTTCCCAACGTGAAGAGTTTGTCTGCCTTTGAAAGGTGTGACTGTGATTCTTCCCATTCCACTTCCCCTGAATGAGTAAATTACTTTGAAAGCGTGGAGGAGTAGATCCAGGCCTTTCACGTTTTCCGATTCTCTCCATCAACTTTACATAAAGCATCACATGCCTGGGGCAGGGCCCACGTCCCCACGCACGGCCCCCACGGCCCCTGCTAGCCTTCCTGCCGCTGCCTGGGAAGTCCTAGGTCGTGACCCCAGCGCCGCCAACCAGGCACATGAATGCGAGCGCGCGGCACTCACGCCCTGTGCGTGGCCCCAGGCACACTGATTCCAGACTTGCTCACAGAGCGCCGTTCGTGGCCACCGCCGTGGGGCGTTCCCCTTCAGCAGCGAGTACCCATCCCGCCATCGGAGCGCATTCTGGCTGGTCTTGGGTGTGGGGTGCGGAGCCCCCGGGGTCCCTGACACCCTTCCACGTGGGCCTGGAAGGTTCACTCATCACCTCCCTAACGCGCCGTCTGCCGGAAGCAGCGGCCTGGGACGTGGGTGGCGGTGGCGGGAGTCACACAGACTCAGAGCGCCCACACAAAGGAGCCAGTGGTTCCTTGACTGACTCTCCAGACTGGGCAGCATGCTGTTTCGAGACGTGGCGCAGGAGATGGACACACATGGTGTGCTCTGCCCTGTGGCCGTTTCGGCTCATTTTCAGGGAGTATCTTTGTTTTGCTAGAAAGGCAGAGACTGTTGTCGCTCAGAAACGGGCATCAGACAGGAGTTTTCTCAAGAAGCAATGAAATGAGCCATTTTTCCCCGCCAGGAAAATATCCAACGGTATTTGTTGTCAATAATGGCCCCAAATACCAGCTTTCAAGGAAAACCCAGAGCTTTGGAGGATGTGTACGGGCCCAGGTGCCTGATGGTGTCCCACGGGAGGGACGCGCCGTCCGACACCCACCAACATCTGGGACACGTGTACAGTCTGGCAGCCTGGGCGTCCCGAAGGCCCGGCCGGTGATGTTGCCAGGTGTGTGTGTGGGCGAGAGACCCCTTCCCACGGCCAAGAACTAGTGGGTCACAGGTACGGTTTCAGACCCACGCCGCGGCCCGTCATCGGCTCAGGGACACACCAGCTGGCATCGCGGACCTTCACGTGGCGGGGTGCTGTCCCCGGCATGCTGGCAGGGGCAGCACCACGTGGAGCGCAGGCGCGGGCCCTCCGGCCTGCTCCCACTCCAGCCTGGCCTGCGGCACACTCCGCCTCTCACCGTCACCCACGACTGGTCACCCTAATGAAGGTGCTGTCACGCTGAGCCCTCGGTGGAGAAGAACAGAGCTGAAGGCTCCGTAAACGCCTGAAATATTAGCACCTTTTCTAGCAAAATGACAGTAGTAAGTTCTAGTCCATGAGGAGTGAGACTCTGTTAGCTGGTAGAGAACAGCGACAAATGTGTCTGCAAAGATCCGCTCTCTCCTTACAAGGCCTGTCCGCTGACGAAACGTCCGTGCGGCTCACGGGTGAACAACTGTGCTGACACTCTGAGCGACACTGGCCGCCGCGGGGCAGCTCTGGCCACGACGGGACAGCTCCGGCCGCCGCGGGCCGCCCCAGGGCAACATCTTGCTCTGCGCGGTGCTGGGAAGGAGCCTTCAGGGAGGGACCGGAACCGTGCCATTGGTGTGCAAGGCCCTCAGCACATGGATAAGGGCAGAAAGGCTCTGAAAACCACGAGCAGCAGCTACAGGAACGGATGCTCTGGGTCTCTGCGTGCCCTGAGTTCCCACACTGCCCCCTGGGACAGGCAGACGCCCTTGGCTGGCGTGCCCCGCGTTCCCGGGTTCTGAGGCCTCGCTGAGACCAGACCCAAGACAGCCTGAGGCAGCCACGGCTCCCCGGGCCCAGTCCTCACAGCCTTCCAGAAAGTACTGGGAGCCTGGCAGCGTGCAGGGAGCACAAGTCTGTCCTGACAAACCCCCAGGAGCCGCAGCGGCCGTGGGGAACACACAGGGTGCGCTTTGTCGAGACCTTCTGGCCAACGCAGGGCAGCCTGCGAAGTGAAGAGCCATTCTCACAAAATGGAAATGTGTAGGGTGAGGTCTCCTGGGCTGTTCACATGCCCAAGCCACACACATACACCCATGCACATGCCAAGGCAACACATATACAAGAGCGGCCCCCACACATGTGCATGAACGTACACTCCCTACTCACGTGCACGCACACATGCACAAACTGCACGCACATCTTGCACGTGAACACACGCCCACGTAGTCATGCACATGCAAACACCACCCATAGCTCCCACCTACATGATCCAGGCACACCCACATATACAGCCCTATACCCAGATGTGTGCGGGTACAGCCATGCACGTGTACCGACTCTGTCTACACACACCTACACACGCCGTGTACACACACCCGAATCCATGCAGACACCCATCCATGCACGGGTGGACTCTACACACTTGTCCGTGACCCACTCACACACCCTGTACACGCACACCTTGACCTGCGCACGTACACACAGACCCATACCCATGCACACGATCCTCCGTCCTCATCCCTGTGTATGCACGTATGTGTCCACGCACGCACACGCAGATCAGCGCGGGAGCTCATACACCCCTATGCACACACGCGTGCACACACATGCACACACAGCATACCTGACCACTTATTTTACGGTACCGTCAGAGAATATCTGGCAGGCACCAGAGCCCTGCCCATCACTCATCACCTGTCCTTTTCCCTGACTCTGCTGTTGCTTATACTCTTCCCACAGCCTGGAGCAGCTCTCCAAACCCCACATGGCCACCCTGGGCTGTGGACTCTGGTCACAAACACAGTTTCAAAAATACAAGAGAGCCAAAGGAGGGAGACTGGTGTGACCCAGGCAGCGGGGGAGGGGGAAGACCTGGGTGGCGGGGGAGGGGTGGGTGAACCCGGCAGCCAGCAGGGGAGGGAGATGGCCCAGGCAGCGGGGGAGGGGTGGTGACCCGGGCAGCTCACCAGGATCTCTGACTGCAAACTGGGCTCTGGTGGTTGAGAGCCGTCAGTTTGGTTAGAAAGCTTTCACCTTCCCTCCCGGAAACTACAGTCTTACTTCCTAACTAAAGGGAAAGTATCTGATGACCCAACAGGCAAGGCCTGCCCCTATGAAGCCAGCGTCCCCTCCTGTCACCGCTCCTGTCCCCAACCAGCGCGAGCTCTCTGCTCCTACAGGCTCACGGGGTTCCCCGGGCCGGCGGCCCAGGACAGCACCCTGCAGCGAGTCCCGCCGGCCACATCACGCAGGACGTTCTCCCACCACCTGAGCCAAGCAATCCCGTGGAGGTCTGTGCTCAGCAGCTGTGCCCCGCACCCCACGGACCTCGCGGAGGGCAGGGTGACCACCCCCGTGTGCACCTCCCACCCCAGGCGTCCTGGTGAATGCGGGAGGAGGTACTCCAATGACCAACACACACAGGCGGCTCGCTCAGGCTCCTCCCATGTGACACCAAGTCATGCCCTTCTCCTGTCTGGGTGTGAAAAGGACCCCAGACGAGCAGGCAGGGTTTCATGGCCGTGGCTACTGCCACCGTCCCAGGGAGCCCCATGCTTTCTTTACCAGGGACCACCAGCCCAGGGACCACCAGCCCAGGATCCCACTACCCTATGTGGGTGTGTGAGGGTTGACTTGTCTTTCCAAACTCTTGACGTGTTCAGGTGTGGGCACGCAGGTTTCTCTGCCACCCGGGCTGGTGGTGGGCTTGCTGCTCACCCCCCCACTCCCCGGGGCACTGGGCACTGGCCACCAGGACCCCGGGGCTCTGGCCTCGACCACGTCCTGCTGGCATCTTCCATGTCTGCGCCCAGGTGACTTTCAAGGTGGCAGGTTTGAGAGAAACTTGAGAAGCAGACGCCAGCGCAGGGTCCATGTGTCCAAAGGGTGGTGACCTCTGCCCAAGGTGGCCCCCAGGCCTCCTTCTTCCTCTCCAGCTCAGCAAAGCCCGAAAAAGAGATCCTCGAGTTGTTCAAATAGGGAGTGCCATTCAGGACATCTGGCCTACCCCACCCAGGAAGAGGCAGTCTCACAAATCCTAAGAATCCCTCTGGATCGCAGGTGACTACCTGTGAAGCAGGGTCGGGGCTCCGAGGGGGACACCCTTGGTCAGTCCCCGGGTGGGAACTGCTGGGTATGCTCCTCTGGTCTTGCTGCGTTCTTGGCTATTCCAGACCCACAGTCCCTGCCTGTCTGGTCCCCTAAAACACACGCTGTGGGCCCCTTGGCCAGACCTGGACCTCGAGGTCAGAGGGGCACCAGCCCATGCCCATGAGCAGCAGAAAGTCCCACGTCCAGTGGACTGTGGGGTCCTCTGCCAGACTTCACACGTGCGACTGCTGAACAGTGGCATGGGGATGAGGGGCCCCTCACAGAGCGCGCATGAAAGCCCATCTGGTTTCCGAGCTTGTTCTAGGAGCAGAGTTATTCTGTCGACTGGGTGTGGAGTGCGCCCCGAGACACTCCCATGCCCGTGTTACAGTTTCCCGGAACATGCCCAAGTGATGAGAATTTCCACCCAGGATCTAAAAAAGGGGGGGGGGGGGAGGAGTCCCATGATAGGGCCTCCGTGTCCTTAGGGTGCCCCCCCCGGAATGACTGGGGCTGAGCCGCAGGTCCAGCTGCAGCTTCCAAGGCCACCTCTGCTGGCTCCTCTTTGCCCCGCGCCCTCTAAGACCCTGGGTGCCTGTGTGGGCTGCATCCCCCAGGCTGCTCACGAGGTAATGCGCTATCATTGCTGCAGATCTGAAGATTCTGTAAACACCAGAGCAAAGCTCAGCAAAAGCTTCCATGACTGAGAAAGAGAAAAACGACCCAGAATCCACCCCCAACACACTACAACGCCAAAGATCCTGATGTTCCCAGAAAGACCCAGAACCCAGAGTTCTCTGGGGCCCACAGCATGCTAACCTGAGAAGACAGTGCTTTACATATTTAAAAAAAAATAATAATCTTTTTTTTTTTTTTTTTTTAAGAGCAAATAACAACTGCTTTTTGCTCTCAGCTGGCTGTAGTCCTCAGGTCGTGGAAAGGGCAGGAGGTGGAGTGGTGCACGCAGGTGCCCGAGAGGAGAAAAGTTACCTGCTCATCCAGCAAGCGGTGTTCCTTACCTGGGAGGGAACGAGATGTCCAGTTCATACAGTCTGTCCTTAAAAACAGACAGCTCTTTGTCAAATTCTAAGAGCTAAAGAAAAGAAACAGAAGAAAATGAGGTCACTTTGGTTTGCCTCACTGGACAACAGGAAAGTCTCTGGTGGTCTGCGTGCAGCAGGGGCCCACGGAACTTCCAGGAAACACACCTGGCACATCAACTGGTCCATCTGTGGGTAGCCCTGCCAACAGCTGGCCATTCCTACCCCCGGGGAGATCCATGGGCACCAAGCACGCCCTTCTGCCTGGGAGGCCATGCCGGGACTCCAGCCCCACTGCCCATGGTTGACTGGCCACGCAGGGCCACCTTCCTCTGCCGAAACCACGAAGGGCAGCGGACCCAGCAATGCCCTCACGCCAAAGCAATGATCTACGGAATGGACGTGGCTCTCATTTTTGCCCACACGAAGTCAGAAAGCGAGCAGGCAGTATGGGATTCCGGCAGTAAGCTTGGGAGTGAAGCACTGGTCTCTACACGTGGAGGAGACAGAGCAGCCTGCCCTTAGAACTCTTCAGAACCAAACCCCAAAGGGCACGGTGCCCCCAGGAGGGAAGGTTGCCAGCAGCAACGTCCAGCCACCCTGGCTGAGCTGAGCCTCCGCTAGGCACGGCCTCGGACGTGCGCGCAGATCACGTCCTCCCACGACCCCAGCACCTGGCTCCTGTCCTGGCCACCTTGTTCATCCCTCGTGAAGCGTGGCCTCAGCAGCTCGGTGTACACGGGGATGACCTATGTGCCAGGCTGCTGCCCGAGCCACCTGCACACAGCACGCCCCCCGCCGAGCCCTGGTGCTCTCCTGGTGAAGGCCAGGGGGAAAACAGCACGAATGTGCACCAGAAGGAACGGTCTGTGGGTTGGGAGGGTAAACCGATTCTCTTGCATTCACGCGTTCCTGCAGAATCCTGGACACTCACAGACACGAATCACAGAGAGCCTTAGACCCTGCCCGGTGAGGCTCAGATGCCAGGGGTTGGGGGCCTGGACCCCACAGCTGCCACCTGTGAGCTCACATCTGCTGGGCGTGAGCCTGCCCAGTGCTGCCCCGATGGGCACGGGACTGGGGGGCCCGGGGGCGGGGTGCAGGGTGGGCAGGGGAGACATGGGGTGGAGGGCCCGCAGGGGGAAGGGAGGCCCGGGGGAGCACACAGGGGCTTGGCTTTCATGGCACCAAACGGCCTTGTTGCCCCTGCATCGAGGGAAGACTCCAGCTCCTCTAGAGTCCAGGGAGGGCTCCAGGCCAAACAGCTTCTGGTAAGTCCCTGAGTCAGGCCTTCAGTTGGGGCTGGGGATGGAGAGGAAGTCTCTAGGGAGAGATGCACCCTGGTGTGTGTGGGGGGCCTGGACAGGTCTCGCAGCTACGTGCATGTTTACACGTGTGTTTGTCCTTGCGTTTACGTGCACACACATGCCTACAGCGTGTTTCTTATCTAAATCACCCTGGAGCTTGAACTCTCAGCCTTCCCAGATGGGACACAGGCCCCGATTCCGGCAGGTGGACGTGGGGGGCGGGGGGCTGCGGGCTTCATGCAGGCGCTGTGTGGTTTTGACCAACGACGGCTAAGAAGAGCAACCGGCGGGCCCTAGGTCAGGGGCCAGGGTTTCCAGAAAGGACCCGTGCGGAGCATCTAGAGCGGTGTGGCCACGGCTGAATGACGGTTTAACGGAAACGTCCAGGGCCGTGTCCTTCAGCAGGATCATGTGCTTCTGGCCGCAGAGCCGGGCTCCACTCTCCCAAATTCAGCTTGGAGGCTTAGACAAACGCGGCATCGCAGAGACTGAGACCGTGGACCGGCGGCGTCCCGCGGAGCCTGCGCGCGCACATTCCCGCTCCTTCCGCACGCCGCCGCCCGGGGCAGTCCCTCCTGCTCTCTGCCGGAGGCCGCTGTGTCCACCCACGTGAGAGGTCCCGGGGTCGCCCTGGCGCCGGCCGCATGCAGACTCGGCGCCGGCAGCCTGTCCTCGTGGCTCTTCCCTCGGGTCACTGTGTTGCCACCTGCCACCAGCATCCCACTGCTGCTCTACGTCGCGTCTTCTCTTTCCGTCCGGGGTCCCGCTGTTCCGCGTGGACACACCCTGCTCCTGAGGATTCGTCTCCTGTGGTGCCAACATCAGCTTGCCGAACGTGGCCTCTCAGGGCGTGGCGCGGCACATCGCCCCCACCCCCGCCGGCCTGCTCGGGGTGCCGCAGCCCTACACGCTGCTGCCTCAGCGGTCCCACCACTAATTTACCCGCCTGGACTTGACTTCCGCAGCAATACTTGTACCAGTTCTGTGTGTTTTTTAATCTGCCCGTTTCTTTCAGGGCGTGTTGTTTATTTGTTTCTGATTCTTTCATATTTTTAATCCTTCTAAACATTCTTATTTTACAATTTCTATCAATTATTCTGGTGTTCATCCGATCTTCTCAAGGGCGCACCCTCCGTATGTCGGGCTTTGGACTACAAGCTCGCCTCCCGTGGACCTTCATCTGGGGGACAGTAAACGTGGTGCCTGCCCTCCATCTGATCGCCCCCCGGATACGAGAAATGCAGGCGAGGGGCCAGGCGCTCAGGTACAAATACTCCGATTGTAATCCCGAAAGCTGCGACGTGCTAGGACTTAATTCTCTTCCTTACACTTTGAAGGAAACCTGGGAATAACCTAGGCCCCAACCTCACGGCAGCTGCAGTGTGCCTCCTGGAGCCTCGGCCAGAGAGGACGCTCCCTGCCCCTCGGGCACCCCTCCTGCGGGTGGACGGCCGCGGTCTCTCTGTGGCTCACTTGCACCTGACCCTCCTCTGTCCCCAGCAGCCTGTGAGTCCCATGGGGGCATCTGTGTCCATTCTGCACCCACTTAGTAGCCCCAGGACTTTGACAGAAATCCAAACATGGTTTCCAAAGGTCCCTCAGGAAATGAGACGCTGCCTGTGCCCGGATTCCTCCTGTGAAAGGGGTTCTTTTCTCCTCACTGCGGGCGGCTCCCTGATGCCGCCCACACCCCCACACTCCCTAAAGGAGACACCACTGCCTCCCGGCTGTGGGCCAAACCCTCAGCTGCTTCTCAAACTCTGCAAGAGGATGGAGGACCCACTGTCCTTGGTGGCCAGGGTTTGTTCACACATGTGCACACGTGTGTCCTGTTGTGTTGATACATTTCTGACCACAAGGACGCTGACCATCTTCACTCCACTGTGTATCTGATCCCAAGGGGCAATGGTGGGGGGTTCCCACGTCCCCACGATCAGCCCTGGGGCACTGAGAGGGACTGGAGGGGGACGTGACAGCACAGCGATGCTGACTCTGCGTGTGTGTGCGCCCGCGCACACCCGCGTGGGGGTGCCTGGGTGCACATGAGCACATGCATGTGAGCGCGTGGCTTTCACTGGTCACTACTGAACATTCCTCTGTTCTGTGCAGCCTCAGAAAGGGACCCTGTTAGCCTTCCTGGGCCCTGCACCGCCTCGGTGGCCAGAACCTGCCGGAGGGCATCCACATGGGTGGCATCCACGTGATGTGGTTCTGGAATATAGGTGAGGTCTGGTGGGGTCCTGAGCCACTCTTCACAGATGCCACGGCCTGGGGTCTGCAGGTACCCACACTATGGCACCCACACATGCTCCAGCAAGTGCGGCCTCGCAGGAAGGAAGGAAGGAGCCGCCGGCGTGGCTCAGAGCAGGAGGGACTGAGGACAGCCTGTCAGACCAGCCACCCTGGTCCCAGACAGCAGCTGCGCCTGGGGAGGGAGCCACTTGGACCCCACCACGTTTCACCACGTTTCTCCTTGCTGAGCATGTAAAGGAAAATTAAAGCAAATAAATATCTGGTTTGGAATGGGTTTGAATCTTCCAGTTGCTAAAACAGTAACAGAGCCACTTTGGGGAGGACCCAGACATCCACGGTAGGGTCTCTGTCCGCAAGGGTCCCCCTCCCGAGCTTGTCCTGCTGTGCGCCCACACCCCAGCCTGCATTCACACGGCCCCAAGCCCCTGTCCGGGAACGGACGCTTCTCAGGTGGCACCGCCTGGAAACACATCCACACACCCCCCGAGCTGGCCCATCTGGTCGCAGGCCGGGCGGCCAGCGTGCTGGACGCCACCCCCCTCCCCCCGCCACGGTGGGACCAGGAAGGGACAGTGCCCTGGGCTCCATGAGAACCTTGGGGGGGGGGGGGGGAAGTGTGGCCCCTGGGGCCAACTCCAGCTGTGAGAGAGGTTCCTGATTAGAAATTATGTTGCGTTTCTGTTGAATTGATAATTTGTTTCTCTTTGAGATTTTTCAGAAACATGATAACCAATTTCACATGTATCTTAAACATTCTTCTTGATTACAAAGTGAAAAACAGTGCAGGCGTGTGTAGACAATGATAAAGCAGCCTGGCTGATCATACGTATCTGTCAGAAGCCGTCCCAGCCACACAAATTCCACTGTTACTGCAGAGACACCAGGCTGATAAAGAAAAAAGAGCCCGGAAAATCAATGCGCCTTGAGCTGGAGCAGTTGCTAAACACACAGAAAACATCTCTATCCAACAGGCCGAGCGCTGTGAAGATTCCCAAGCCCTGCCCTGGGACAGCCAAGGAAAATTTAATCTCTCCAAATCCTCACCAGGGCACTCCATCCTGCCGCCCTGACAGCCACACTTATAATTAATTATACAATTTCGATGGGAATATCGACTAAACAAAGCTATAAATCATAGAAAAAGTCAATAGGCATGGACACATTCAATCATGTCCCAGCCAATGATTACTACTCTTAAAATACAATAATTATTTCCAGAAGCCAGCTTGAATTAAATTTCTGTCAGACGGGTACAAGACTGGTGCTTGATGAAGGGCGCGATGGATTTTGGGGCTGCGTCCAGCACAGGCACATCCATCCTGTGGATGGGTTGTTTGTTCCAGGGGCCGTGGGGCTGTGTGCCTCCCCACTGGGGTGCGATGGCTCGTCAGACCATTTATCTTGTCCCCGTGGCTGGTCTGGACGACCCCACTTCCTGTGTGTGATGGACGAGGAGGCGCCCGGGGCACGGAGCGCGCACACTGGTGTGACCCTGCGGGGCATTTCTGAAGGCACCGAGCGCCCGGGACCCTCAGCAGCAGCAGGATGGTCTGGAGAAGCCCCGGCAGACCCCTGGGGAAGGTGCCAGGCCGGGCGCGACTCTCTCCACGTGAGATTCCGGACACACGACAAAGGGGCACGTGGGTCTTTCCAAAACAGCCACGTGGAAATCTACTCTGTAACTCTGAACTGCATTTTTTCATCTCTGCCTAAAATACATTCTCCTGAATATTCAAACTTTCCTCCATCTTAAAAAATTTCATATGCTAGATAAACACAGACATAAAAACTGCGATGTCCAATGGCGACAACACTTGTTATTTCTAATGGTAGCAACACATGCTTCGTCCAGATGCTAGAGAAAGACAGTGACCATGGGTCCGTGTGCGCTGGCTCCCCGTTTCCAGAATGCACACCTTCTCCCTGGCTGCCCTATGCTGCCCTGGCTCAGACCCCACAGCATACCCTGCTCACCCATGTCCTGCTTCTTCCAGAACATTCCAGGCCCTGGCTGCCCCAGTGCCACTCCCGTGTCCACTGTTTGCCCGCTTTGTTACCGCCCTGGAGGCCTCACTGTCCCCCCACATCAGGGGGCTGCCTCTGTACCAGGGGCCCAGAGAGCCCACCCTGCCTCCAAGCTCAGAAAGTCACGCAGCTGCCCAGAGAGTCTCCCGGGTACTTCCCCTGCAGCCGGTGCCCCCCAGCAGTCCTGTCCCCAAACCTGCCCCTCGAGCTCGCCTGTGCCCCGAGTGCTGAGGCCCTGAAATCACGGGGTTGCTGCACTCTTTGGCGTGGACGGCAGGTAGGACAGGTCCTTACCCTGGTGCCTCCCGCCTAGGGAAGTGGACTGGGCTGTAAGCGTCTGCGTGCTGAGCTGGGCACTGCAGGGGGCATAGGAGGAGAGTCAACCTCGCCAGGGCCTGAGGCCCCCTGAGGAAGTGAGATATGAACTGGCCAGGGCCAAAGGGCACAGTGTCCACTGGGACAGGCTGGTGGGAAGGGCAGGTAAGGAAGATCAGAGCATTTGCTGGGGCAAAAGTAAACCCAGTGCCTGAATGGGGCGGGGGTGGAGCGGACCGAGAGAGCCAAGCAGTGAGTGAGGCCTCAGAGACCAGAGCAGGCTCCTGGCCCACGTGAGTGAGCAGGCTCCAGGCTCACCTGAGGTCCATGGGAAGTGGCTGAGGGCTTGGAGCTGAGGCCTGACCCTCTGCGCACAAGCCCCAGGCTGGGCCCCAGGCTCGGGGTACGCTGATGGGGCTCTTGCAGCAAGTAAGAGGCGGTGGCCCCGAGGTAGTGGACACAGACCTGGTGGGGGGCCATGGGCCATGGAGGGAGGAGTGGGTGTAGGGATGGAGGCGGGAGTGCGGTTCCTGGCTAGCAGTGTGAAGGAGGGACACAGGACCGACAGTCTGCTGCCCGGTGGGACCATGCTGTCTCCCAGCACTGACACCTGCCAGCGTTCATCTGCACACAGACCCGAGGGATCCTGCCACACACGGATGGGAAACTGAGGCACAGGTGTAGAGTACTCAGCACGGCCGGGGCCTGAGGGCAGGGGTGACAAGACCAAGCCGGGGCTCCCAGATGCAGAGAGGTGAGCACAGGGATGGCGGGGGTGGGGCATGAAGTCCAGGCTTTGGAATAAAGTGTCCTCGAGGCGGGTGACCATGGTTTTGGTGGCGCGGAGGCCAGACTGCAGGGCGTGGGGGGGCTGGGAGATGAAAAGGGGGACAGCTATGCACAGAGCCCCCCAGAGCGGGGGTGGGTGGCAGGGAGAGCAGACAGGCTGGAGGGCAGGCAGGCGGGCAGCAGGTGTGCTCAGGGGTCCCTACCTGCCGGGGCACCCGCCCTTAGGGAAGCCTCACACTTCCGGCATGCGCCACGCAGGACCTGCCCCTGCACACTGCACCCCGGGGGCCGTAGGGTCAGGAGCCGCCCCTCGTAGACTGGGACTGGCCACGTGGGGCTGCTACACACGAACTGCTCATCCACCAACACTCTTACTGCCCAGCTGGACACCCCAGGAACACACTAAAGCAGGCCCGAATCCCGTGGCGGGTCTGGCTGCCCTGCTGCGCCTCTGGATTCTCGACGGCGGGCGGTGGTTCAAAGGCGGAGGAGTGGCTCCCGCAGGACCAGGTCTCGACCAACACGCACTGCACTCTGCACACACACATGCGTGCACACACGCAGCCACGGGGAGGCCTGGTCAGACGTGCACACGGAGCCCAGGCCTGTGCCGGCCGCCCTGAGCACCTAGGGCGTGAGCACCCCACCTCCCACACGGAGGGTCTCCAGACCCGGGCAGGGACGGTCCCAGCTGCAGGTGCACGGTCCCGGGGGCCCAGGACCCCAGGGGCATCAGAGGCAGCGCTCACCGCGGTGCCGTTGTTGTCACGGAAAACCTCCTGGTTGAAATAGTCGAAGAGTTTCTTTTCCAGCTGAAGCATAACCTGCAGAGTGGAAGCGGACATCAGTGCGGGCGGGGCGGGACCACGCCTCGAGCAGTCCCTGTGCTCCCCAACTCCAAATGGCCACGGTGGCCTGCCGTGGTCGCGGCCCTCAGCTCGGGGGCGCTTACCTTCCGGTCATTGTCCGACTCGCGAAATATCAGCTTCACGACTTCATTGGTGTCGGCGGCGCGGACGGTCTGCATCGTGGCCTTTGTGCAGAGAGTCTGGGAAAGACACAGAAGGGCCTCAGTCCCACGAGAGGGGCCCACAGCCCGTCTCCTCAACGCGATCAGCACACTTCCTGGCCTCTCTCCCTGACCCCGTCCTTTCCAGCCCCTCCACGTAAAGGGACCGCGGACCCGCCCGCACAGCAGCAGAGTGTGACGGGCACCCCATCCAAGGGCAGGCCTGTCGGCAAGCGCCGCACACCTGGAGCGGGCCCTGGCCTCCCTGCCCACCTCTGCTTCCGGGAGCTGCCCCACAGCTGGCTCGGCTCAGACCCTGGAAGGTCTGCTGGGGCTTCACTGAAGACAGCCCTGTGCAGGGCAAGGGCGGGGAACTCACTGCCGTCTCGTGCTGTCCCCGTGGCAGGCTGGGGACACACACTGCCACGAGATCTGCCCCATAGGCAGCAGGACAGGACGGGGAAGGCAACACCAGGGAGAACAGAGGCCACGCTGGGTTCGGGGGCAGACATTGACCGGCTGAGGGAGGGAACAGCTGAACAGGCGGGGAGAGGGACGAGGGAGCAGGGTCAGCCCCACGGCCGCACGGCACAGCCCAGGTCACGGCGAGCAGGCCACCGTCTGATGGACTACAAACTAAATTAAGTCCAGGTTTGTTGAGAAAATTCTCCCAGTCGGAACTGGGTGTGAGGCGGGAAAGGCTGGGGCAGGTGCCAACGAGTGGCTCCCTAACGGCAGGACGACACTGGAGACCCAGGGCAGCAAGCCGACTCCCGGGGCCCCGAGCCATCAGGGCTACTGAGGAACGCATGTAACAAAGGAAGTACAAGGGACTTGTCCTTGTTCAGAAGGAGAGCAGCACAGAAAGAAGGCAGACTGGACGCGGGAAGCGGGGGCCCCCACCCCCTGCCGCTGATGATGCTCTTTCCTTAAGGAAAGGTCACATGGGACCAGGGTCCATGCACACAAAATGTCCAGAAAGGGCACGTGGAGGCTGCCTGGGACTGAGACTGGTGCGTAAACCAAACCTCAATGGAGCTATTCTTTAAAAATGACTAGATGAGTTTTATTTAAAAAAAAAAAAGACCACTGCAAGAAAACAACTAATTTTGACTCCTGGGCCCTTGTGAAGTTGTGAGAAGCCCTTCACCCAGGGGAGAGCGGGAGAGCAGGCCCGGGTTGGGTGGGGACCCCTCCTGAGCAGGGACCCACTGGGATGAGCCGCAAGCCCCTCCAGAGCCAGGGGGCAGACCCCTTCCAGGTACGTGGGGGGCGGGCAGGCACACCGCCCAGCATGGGGCAGGGGAGGCAGCGGCTGCCGTCCCCACAGCGTCCTCCAGGACAGGCCATTGACATTCAGGGCACAGATGAGTTAAGCAGGTCAAGCCCCCAAAGTGGCTTTTGGACTCATGTGTCACAAATCAGTCTGGCCGCCTTCAAACAGTGCGGATTAGAACAAGCGCAGGAACAATCCGTAGCAGAGCGCGGCCACCCTGCCCACCCCTGCATCCTGAGGAGGTCCAGCTCCATCCAGATGCTAATGCGCTTAAGTGGCTTAAGTGCTTCCTTGAATGGGGGAGGGCTCCACAGGCAGACGGCCATTGTAGCCACCCCAGGACGCGATTCAGGAAATTCTTGGTTCTTCTTCCAAAGGCATCTGCTAGAAACTTGTAAAAAAATTGCTTTATTTAGCCATTTTGGGCGGGCTCCCAAAGTATAAACATCTGATCAGCCCGGGCGCTGGGAGAGAGGCCGGCGCTTTCTCCGCACCCTCCCACGGAGCCACCTCATTCACCAGGTTGTAAAGAAGTGATCAGGCCCCGGCCAGCCTGGCCTCGTCCTCCTCTCTGCTTTCAATCCGCAGTCATGACCAGCCATGCAGAAACCTGCAGGCCGGGGCCTTTCCGCTCGCCTACTTACGGAAGGGATTTTTCCTTTGAAAGGAGAAAAAATAATACCCAAAATGCTATTTTTAAAGAGCTACCTAAGATTTATTTCATTACCAGCAGCCACACGAAGGGGCAGCAGATAGGACAGCCCCGCACTTTGTCTTCTTGGCACTTGGAGTGCCGGTTTTTGTCTTGGAATCTCACGGGACCGCTGTCCCCAAGGCTGTCCACCTGTTGTGTGGATAATGAAATTCTTGGGTTTCTTCTCAGTCCGGATAAGTTCTGAAGCAGGGCTGCTAGACAGGGCAGCCCCAGGACCCAGGGCCCCAGTGTCAGCCCAGAGGGCTATTTCCAGTGCTTTCTGCGGATCCTGAAGTTTACAGCCAGCCTGACACAAAGCCACCAGCGGTCCGAGGCGCCTGCGTGCCCCGCCCATCCAGGAGCTGAGTCTGTCCCAAGCGCTCCCACTCAACTGCCACCATGCTCCCCCCTGGTGCAAAACTCGACCGAAGACGCGAGCACCCCTGGACCCTTCCAGCCGGGCCTTCAAGATGCAGTCTTGCAGAATCCACTCTGTACCCTCTGCTGCAGACAGAAAGGCCCTGTGGTCCGAGGCAGCATGGACGGTGAGCAGGTGGAGCTCAGTCCCCACCGCAAGCATGCACTGGTCTGACCGGCACCTACCACGTGCATGACAGAGCTCCAGGCTCCTGGGTTTCCTGGGAATGCCAGCTGGCTGGATCGGACAGGTCAGGAAAGTCCTGAGTTTGAGTCTCCTTTCGGGCCTTACTGAACAAAGTAAACAAACTGGGCTGATTTGGGGGCAGCTAGGTCTGTTAGGAAGTATGTCCCAAAGTTTCATGCGGTATGTTTTAGTCTGTGTTGGTAAGAGGCACATAGACCAAAAATATCTGAACATACATTTGAAAAATTCCATCAGGAACAGGAACTAGGTAAGGCAGCTTTAAACAGAGGGCTGGAAAGTCTCCTTGTTTAAACTGCTTAGTTTCCAAACTGTACCCGGAAGCCGTAGCCGCTGTGCCGTGTACCCACTCGAGGCGGCAGGACCCACGCCTCCATCTGTGTCCAAAGCGTGGTCTCTGAGCAGGTTCCCCGCCATTTGCTGTGAGCTCAGTCAGCCGAGGCAGACTCTCAGCCGAAGTTTCCAAAGGATCAGCTCAGCCCCGGGCAGGCAGGTGGCCTCTGCACGTGCCAGGACCGGGGGGCTGCGAGCCGGGCAGTGTGGAGCCAGCGGTCGAGGGTGTCGGGGTGAGACCATGGGGGCCCCGTAACATAGGGTTCCCGGAGGAAGAACTGGACAGTGAATGTAGAGCAGACGTGTGGGGGCTCCAGGGACAGGCACTCAGGGAGCTGGCGAGGGGCTGAGGGGCCCCCAGGTGCAGTGTCTTCAGTGTGGGAACTGTGGTGGGGAGGAGATGGATGGACAGGAGACAGGACACGGGCCGTGCTGGGGAGGCAGCCTCTGGAAGCGGGCCCGGGCCACAGGATGTGGACAGCGGAGGGGATGCGTGCGCCAGCGCAGGTGTGAGTCCAGAGGCCTGGCGGGTCCTTCCCTTCTCGGGGGCACGCCTCTCCATCCTCCTGCTTCCCTCCACCCCAGAAAACGCAGGAAGTTGGTGTATATATTGGAAGCATATTTCGAATTTAAAAATGTCTGAACAGGAATGGGGAGTCCCGCCTCTGTCCGCAAGGCCCAGGTGGGCTGGGAACCTGCGTTTGGTTGCACTCTCCCCCAGGGTCAGGAGAAGTCCCCATGGGAGCGGGCAGGGGTCTGGTCCCCCTCAGGCCTGGAAGAAGCCCACCCCCCAGGCCCGTGGACGCACATCACTCTGCATATTTGGATGCACTCAGGGTCATGGCACCGGGAAGGACTGTTCCGGAATGCAGTGAGGGCTGAGTTGGGGCGAGCCTGGGGTCAGCAGGCTCCTCATCGGGGTCCGTGACATCCCATCCGCAGAGCCTGTGCAAGAACCACGGAGGCCACAGGGGCCACAGAAGCAGAGCTAAGCTCCTGGGAACATGGGTGCCGGGAAAGGGCCCTTTCTGCTCCCGTGACTTCCTCTTACCGCCCACGTATCCTGGGTCCTGGCAGTCCGCACATCCTGTCTCTGTGCTTTGATGCAAAGTCACCTGTTTGTTGGTGGAGCCATGAACCCCCTTCCTGCAACTCTGAGCCCCCCTGTCAGTGACGGCTGGGTCCCCACTGAGGGCCACAGGCACCCAGAAAGTTCTCAGCAGACGGGCTGCATAACTTGACCTTCCAGAAGCATTCTGAGGAGGCCCCGCTCCTCTGGGAACAGGATCAGAAGGTCCTGGAAGAAGGTGCCCTCCCGCCCAGAGCACAAGGGGTAGCCAGGGACGCACATGCAAACTCCATCCCTGCGGCCTCCTGACCTGACCACTGGCCCCAGCAAAGCCTGTCCCAAATCAGCACAAGGGGGAAGGCCGGCACCTCGAGGACGCCAGGCGCTCCTTGTCTGGCCTGGAGCGGAGCTTTCCAGAGGGGTGAGCAGGGCCATTGTCTCGGGGTCGCTGTCCCTCCCCCATGGTTGCACAAAGAGGTGGGGCAAGGTCCAATCCCGACTTTAGTCAGCGATGAAAACCAGTCGGGCCAGATGTCCACAGACTGTTTAACGTGCAGGGAATGGACGACGGTGCTGGGGCCGAGACGTCCTCAGCAGGGCTGCTCAGGGCTGGGTTAAACAGAACAGAAGCGAGCCCCATGAGCCAGCCTGGGCCCCGCATCCAGACATGGTGCAGGCAGCTTCGAGGAAAACACTGGAGCGAATTCTTAAGGAATTAAGAATTAAAAATTTCTGCAGCTGCAGGAATAGGCTTCTCTTTGTTTTCAAACCGAGACCACTGGGGGAGGCACTGGGACCCTGGAGAGCCTCACAAGGCCCCCACGGCCTGGGGCAGCGTCCTGGCCACGTGTTTACCCTCACCTGATCTCTCCCGCCAGGCTGCCTGTGGGCACGGCTCCGGAGCTGTGAGCTAACCTGGGCTATATTCCCGTGCCCCCTACTCCCAGAGAGGGATAACCCCACGGGGAAAAGGTGTTTGATTGCTAAGCAGAGTGTGCTTTTGGCGCATTCCAGACGTCAACACTCATGGAGGAAAGGAGGAGAG